GAAAATTTCGCACGTGTCAGTAACCAACTAGACGAACTTGATACCTGCAACTCGACACGTCAGCCACAACCTTTCCTGCCGATTTGTACGTTGTTACCCCTTTTTCTACATTACTCCCTCGCCTTTTCTAACTTACACTGTCTCCTAAATTACGCTGTCGTGTGTCTCATATGCATAAATCCACGTTCTATGTATTCCATAAGTTCGTACAGTGCACTGTCCACTCATGGTTGTCGCCGCTGCCGCTAGCGCTGCATCCGTCGCCGCCGCACATCTGGGCTCCACGAACGGGGTGATGTGCCGCCGTTCATGCGTGTTGTTGTGGCGCCGTGCATCCGTACTGTCTACATGCGCGCCGCGTAGTCGTGCCATCCGGTGGCATGCGTATTCGGCCGTATGTTCGTATTCTTACCATCCGGATCCTTTACTATTCTTATCCTTACCTTTCTCTGCTTGTATTTTCTTGTCCACCTCTGTTTTCAGTGTGTCGACTGCTTCCTTCGCTTTCGATATGATCTCCTTCTCTTTGTTCTTTATTTCATTGATTTTCTCTTCGTTCACGCTTCCAGTACCATCGTGCTTCATCTTTTTTTTTTTATAATCCGCCCACTTCATATTACACTCCGCTCCCGCTTCTATATTCTGGATTGCGTCCAATATGTGCTCTTCGTACAATAACCAGTCTACTACGTTCAAATTTATGGCGTTTGCCGACCTTTCATGGTCCTTATACCCACATGCGGTGCACCTGCCGTCGATAACAGGACCCGTGAGTGCTCCAAATCCATTTTTTCCTGTGCTTTGCATTTTCCTGAATGCTATCCGGGAATACTCTACACCTCTTTTCCACTTTTCCTGGTCCGGACAATACTTTTCCTTGAGTATATGTCCAAATATATTTGCTACTTCGCACCGTAACATATTCTCTTCTTCCGTGTCCATTTTGACCCCTGGCTCCGTCGCGTTTGCACTCGTACTCCACCCATTTGCAAATGCCCATGCAACACTCATAACTCTGCACCTGAGTACATCCGCTACCTTTTGGCCCATGTATTTATACCCATGTGATGAGATATCCTCCCAACCAGCATTATCACAATTGGCACCAAACCCCTCTGCGTTCTCTTGATTCTCATCCATATATTTCGTAAATTGCTCCAACACTTGCTTCCACTTGTTCCATTCGTCCTTCTGCGTTTGGCACGTGAACATACAAAAGTCCTCATTAGCACGTGCTACCTATGTTATTCTCAGTCAATACATGTACACCGTGACATATATGCATGTAAGCCTATGAATAAATTCCTGTGTGTTCCAGTCCGGCGTCCTCGTCATGCCTGCTGTCGCTGTTCAATCTAACTTACATTCGGAGGAGGCACCACGTACAGTGTACGAGCCTTATTCTGCCGTGCTAATTCTCCATCACAATCCTTTCCTTTTCCAGCCTTGCCCTTTCCCTGACCTGCTTGGGCAGCACCCTGACCAGCCTGACCACCACTACCACCCGTACCACCACCAGCAGCTGATGCCGTCGTCGTGCCACTTCCCGATGACGGTGGTGATGCCGGTTTCGCCGCTACTGGTTTGGCAGCCTGTCCGCTGTCGACCGGCTTGACCGGCTTGGCTGGTGCTGGTTTGGCCGGGGCGGGTACGGCTGCGGGAGGTGACCGTGTTTCTGAGTCTGACTTGCCTGGCTGTGATGATGATGTTGTGGATGATGATGATGGTGCCGCTGGGGTCTCTGCCGTCTTCGCCGGTGATGGTCCGTGTTCTTGTCGAGTTTTCGAAGAGGAGTCCTCCCTGCTCACCTCTTCTACCAATATCTTCTGTATACTTTTAGGTCCCCCTGAGTTTTGCATTTTGTTCTTTAATTCTTCCACTCTTTTCGTCATTTCCTGGCCCACGGCTCCCATTTCATCCTGTATTGTTTGCTTTAATGCTGTCACTGCATCGTCCCCGTCACCTTTGTCCCGGGCGCTTAGTTTTACTGTACAGTCGGACCCTAATACGCCGTCCTTCCCATCATTCAATGTTCCCCGATTCCTCTCAAACCATCTTAGCATGATGTACCATGAATCCCATTTTCCTATTTCGTGCTTTCTCCCATCGGTCCTTACCTGTCGGTTCCGGTGATGGTGTGGTTTCCGGCGATGCTGTAGCTCCTGGATTTTCAGGGGCGGGTGTGGCGGTGCCTCGTGCGTTACCTGCAGTACCCGGTTGTGGCATGCCTGGTGATGATCCTGATGATGATGTTGTTGTTACCTGTGTGCCCTGGGACGGCCGAGGTGGTCCCGAGTGTCCATGTCCTTTTACTTGTGGACCTTGCGGAACAGAGTCATGCTGCTTCTCTTGTTCTATTATACTCTTCACACAGTCTTTAGATGCACATGTGTTTACGTGCTGTAATATTCTCTGTATCTGCTTGGCCATATCGTGGCCAACCTCTACCATGTGTTTTTTTACTGTCTCTTTCAAGTCCCCCACGTGTTCATCCTTTCCTGCCTTTCTTGCTTTTTTTTGTACCATGCAACCTTCCCCTAATACTCCCACCTCCCCATCCTTCAGCTTTAACTTATTCCTTTCAAACCACCTTGTCATTATATCCCACAAATCCCTATCCTTTGCCGTTTTCCCTTTGTGTCTATCTCCTCCTGTTCCAGCATCGTGCTCTTCACAAGCAATATTACCGACCTCTCTATCCTCGAAACTGCCCATTGCTCCCTTCGCTAAATTAAATGCAAACTGTCCACCAGGCCCTTCTAAACAATTCATGCCCATTATTTTCTTCATGAATATATTTACTAGAATACATCTCATATAGAGGTCTATGTCCTTGTCCTCGTCGTTATCGTAGCGCCCGGTCACGGGCACCCCAGTTGTATCAATCCCGTGCTTAAAATGTAATGCTATAAGTGTTAATTCACACAAATCCTTGTTCGCCTGATCCAATTCATCCCCAGTGTCCGGGTCAACCCATGCATCACACATACCTCTCATTGTACCGGCATCTTCCGCGTGCCTCATGTAATCCTTAAATTCCGTCCATACGGTCTCTATATTTTTCCAGAAAAGTTCCTACAGGTATAATGTTACTTATGTATTCCTGTATGAATTATATTGCCTTCTGCACTGTGCGTGCCAATATAATTCCCTAAATAATTACACATCCCGTTCCATATGTATTTCCTTCGTGCTGTTATAGAAATTATAGTAGTTCACAACATGAATACACACACCTCCCTAAGATACTCTCTATGTCCATTCTAACTTTGTTGCATAATACCATACAACTCGTTCTCTCTTTTCCTCATATACTACAACTTACCGCCCAAGCCTTAATATTCTTCTCCTTTACCCCTATATCCCCGTTCTCAAAATACTGGTCCCATAATAATATTAAATAGTTCCACATGACTCCCCCACTGTGTTCCGTCTTATATAGGATGCCCCTTTGCTCGATACTTATTCAATGTCCACATTAACTGTACATTAGCCTTCGGAATCATATTCCTCTAATAGAAACTTATACTCCTACATACCCAGAATATTATGCTCCTTGTGCATTAAAATCATTAACAACAACGCCACTTAACACAAAATACCCCCCTTAACAACAAATACTCCACTTAACAACAAATACCCTGTTGACACTGTGTCTCTCTGTGCGTACACCTAAAACCCCGCAGTAACAACATCAAATTCTTCTTCCGTCGTACACGCGGACAATCCGTCGTCGAATCGGTCTTGCACATGGCCCCTTTGGTCGACGCGTGTGCTCGGAGAGACAATGTGCTCCTCGTTCTTACACTCGGTTGCTTCGTCGAATCGTGGTTACGCGCGGACAATCCCGTTTACCCGGCCGCGTGTGCGCGGAGAGACAATCTCCGCCTCCTGCTTACACTCGGCCGCTTTTGCTCGGCTACTTCGTCGAATCCGTCTTATACTCAGCCGCGTGTGCTCGGAGAGACAATCTGTCCTCCTTCTTACACGCGCGCACAACGTTTACGAGGACGAGGCAACGACGGCAGAAGAATGGATGTTGTTATACTGGGGTTTTAGGTGTACGCACACAGAGACAGTGTGTGAAGACGTTTAGTGAAGAAGGCGGCGGGGAGTGTATATGCATGACGCGTTGCGTGTGTAGGTAGTGTAGTGTACTTTTTTCCCCTCTGTCTTTGACAGCAGGAACACGGCGGAAGAAAACTAGTAGTGGTTGGTGTATTTATCACGACTTCCAAGAAGCGTGACGAAGCAGCGGTTCCAGTACGCGGTTCGACGACGTAGCCGCGTAAGCATTGTGCCGAGTGTAAGAACGGAGGGAGACATTGTCTGTCCGAGCAAACGCGTTTCGACGACGTAGCCGAGCACACGCGGCCGGGTACATGGATCGGTCCGCGTGTAAGAACGTTTCGACGCAGTCGGCGCGTGCACGCCGGAGCAGCATTGTCTCTCTGAGCAAACGCATCGACCAAAGCGGCCAACTGCAAAACGGATTCGACGAAGTAGCCGAGTAAAGCGGTTCGATTACGGCGTTCGAGTAAACGATTCGACGAAGTAGCTGCGGGAGGGACGGCGACCACGACGGAAGCAGACATTCATGTTGTTGTTATTAATGCGGTTTTTAGGTGTACGCACAGAGACAGTGTGTGTGAAAGGCGTTTAGTGCAGACCGGTGTAGCATGGCGTATTCATGACGCGTTGCGCGTGTAAGGTAGTAGTAGTACTACTTGTTTTTTTTTTTCCTTTCTGTCTTCTTTCCTCTTTTGTTTCCTTTCTTTTTCTTTTTGTTTCTTCTCCTATATATATTTTTCCCCCATTGCGCATACGTCGTTCCCGTGTGATTTAATACTAGTGGAATAATGGAACAGTGGGTGCAAGTGACGATTTTGTTATGTATAATATTTTAATGCTATGTTATACGGAAAGGAATTCCTAATAAGTACTAAGGCACGGATACAAAAATAATGAGTGGTTGGGCCATGTAGTGGTTGATGTAGTTCTGATGCAGCATTACGACAATAATAGGCAGTGTAATGTTAAAGCTTACCTGAACAAGATAAGGGAAGGACAATGAGTGCTACAAAGTTCACGCAGTTATTGGCGGATTATATAAGAAGAAGAGCAATCCAGGGAGATCAAGGCGATGGGCAGGATTTTAGCGTAAGTTGCCGTGAAAATTACGAGCCCGGGACGAACATGTAGACTCATTTGTGTGGCACAGCGTGCACGCTACACACAATTATAGAATTATAAGGGAACATATGGATCATGTGGGCTACTATTGTTGCATACATTTAGACAGAGGTATACGAGAAATATTGTATAAAATGTACTCATCTGTATAGGGAGCGTAAACGTAGGGCAGTGGTAAAGTATAAATGAATGCTTAAATTATTTCAATTGTAGGAGAAAATATGGAACGATATGAAGAGCATGTTCTGGCAGTTGCGTACATATGTGGATGTAAAGACATATGGTCCAATGATAAAGACCATGTGTAATTACAAAATACACAAAGAAGCTTATCTGAAAGATATACGTAACAAATTGTTATGTATGGAAGTGGCGACAATATTTTATTATATGGAGGGATTGAATAAAACAGGAACCGCACAGAGTAGTATGCATCAAGGAGCAGGCGAGCTGTGGAACTACCTAAGATGCATCATAGGCACCTGGACCCTCATGAGGTTACATGGCAACAAATGTCACATAACAGCAATAACGACACATGTTTCCACATTAATGCGTACGCTGGAGCAAAGCTTCCATGCTCCAACTCATAGACACAAATGTGCTTGGGTTAAATTTGAGGAACTAAAAATTGGAACACGCCTTATGGGGGCAGCCATGGACGAATGGATAACCGAATGGAAACGCAGAAGGCCTAATATAACTCAGGGCAAGAGAGCAGGCGGATGTGATCAGGTCGGAGGAGGGCGGATGGGGGAAGCAAGTGCAGCAGGAGATGGACCAAGCAACAACATTGATATATTGAAAAGTGAGAATTTAGACACACTAAAAAGCTTGATCGAGACGAAGGAGTATCTACCGAAAGCTAGGGTACACAAAATAATTGAAGATGTCAGGGCCAGTAATGACCAGGAGACAGGTAGAAAAATAATAAAGGACGAAATAGAGACATGGGACCACGAAAGGACTAAAATACCATCCAATGCAGCAGAGACATCATCACCACCAGCAGCTCCATCGGGCGCGTCAGAACACGGTAATACACGTAACGCAGGTGGCACCAGCAAGCCCGCCACGGCGCCTACTGAGCCGGCTGCAACACTACCATCCGGGGAACCGCCAGGTAAGACCGCTTAGAGACAGCACGTATACGACCACTACGGCCCGCATGTAGACCGTGCGAATATGGCTGCCGGCACCACAACAACACGCACGCGGCTGGCGCACAACGCACGCGGCGGCCACGACGGCAGCGGTAGGGGCGACCACTGTGTAGACGAGGTCTGTGTGCGGACGGGGGAATATTTCCCCCCGGGGTGCAACATTGTTACTGGTGGAGAAGGGAGGGATATTCATGCAGCGCGAGAATTTTTCAAGTGCGGAAAAAAAAAAGAAAGCACTGTTACATTTTATAAAAATATTTGCCAGATGTTGTATCCATAGTAATCATCATGTAGTGTTTGTTACATGCAGCATATGAAATAATTGTTCCTTATACATGTGCAATATAGGGACACGTTTCCCCTTTTTTCTTCTTAAAATGGGTTCCTCATCCATAGTATCAATAAACACTTGATCATATGAACAAATAATACAACATAAACACAAACCATGTATGTTGGTAACAGCACAAACAAAAATTATAAAGTAGGACACGCAACTATAGGATACATGCTTTAAAGGAAACATATGCCTATCACACAAAATCTGTAGGACCTCATGAGATTGTCGATCCTGTAACCAGACGAATAACATATCCTAACGTCAACATAATCTACGAGAAATAGAATACGGCACGTACTTATGGTTTTTTGCGTAATTTCTGTGACCAAGGTAATTTCAGTTTCCCCGGTGCTTCCGGTTTCTTTGGCACTTCTGGATTCTTTGGTACTTCTGGATTCTTTGGTACTTCTGGATTCTTTG